CTCACCCCCTTGTGTTGCAGGAAGTCTGATCAATCTGGTGCCCGGGCTGGTTGAACTCCTGCTATTCAAGGAGTGGGGACAGGGGATAGAGAACCTCTCCAACGGTGAAAGAAGCAGGTATTGTATGTGATGGAATCCGTCCGCTTGGTGGTAGCTGCGCTTGGTGTCGATGTTTGGTTGCGGGCGTTGTTAGAGAAGTAGGACATCGGCAGCAGCAGCAGCAGCAGCAGCGCAGCAGCAGCGTATGGCAGCAGCAGCAGCGTATGAGGTCGCGCAAAGAGTATACATTCATACCCATGCTACCAGAATCTACCCACCTCGTGTTTCGGGCACTAAAATGGTCTGATCTAGTTGTTGATCCTAGGCGGTGTTTCCAGTGCAACGCGCAGTGCGAGCACCACGAGGTTTCGAGCCGATCTGTTTCGCGACATCAATGACATACACACAGAGTTGAGAAGTTGCCTTTTGGGCTGTTTTGTTTTGCTCGGTGGCAAGCCATATGGAACGGGAGATGGATCGCGGTAAAAAGCAGCCAGATATATTTAAGACAAAACGCCAGCATGAATCCTTGATAGCGAAACTGACGGGTTATGCAGACAGTACCGCGTCAGGCGGTAAAACGATGGCGAGTTGTCGTTGTCGTTTTTTTTCTCTTGCTCTTGTTTCTTTATGTGTGTTTAGAGTCTGCTCTCTCCCCTCGAGGCAGGAACGATTCTGGCCTCTCCAATTCCCGGTTTTCAAAACTCCTTCGAGTATCACGCAGCATGAATTACTGCGACACAAACCTTGTCCCGTGGCGGGCTGTACGTATGCACTCATGAGGCACAAGTCCAAGAACACACCACCACCTGTGCGTATTTTGTCGTTCCTTTCGCCACCCGCCCTCAGCGCCGCCGTCGCAGCAGAAGCCCCGCGTTTCGTGCTCCTCCTTTTCGTCGAGAAGTCGCTCATCGCATCCGCCGCGAGTGGCGACCAGGTGCTTGGCAGCAGTTGAACCAAGAGACAAATCATACAGTGCGTGTTTGCGTTTTTATTCTTGGCATCGACAGAGGCTAAGCGGGTGACCAATGCAGGGACGCCGTCTCAGCGCGATTGAGAGCACACAGCACTTTTGAAGGCGGTGTTTGTGTTTCTTCGACTAGCATCGAACGCGCGAACCGGCTGACCACAACGAAAATACTCCAGTCATGCGGCAAGATAGAACATGCTAACCCGCTCTCCATGCAAAGGCTTCTACCGAAACGGGGGGGTGCAGTAGTTGAACGACAGCAGTGTCCTATTAGTGCCTCTTTTTTTCTGGCTTTTGCTCAAGTGGTTTTGATGCCTTGCATGCACTCTGGCCAAAAACTGTAAATCACGTTACACGGTGTTTGGTGTGTTTCGGAACTGGCGTGGACAGACAGACCGACAGAACTACCGCCATCGGAACGGCCCATCGAATCGAAAGAGAGATGCGCATTCGCCGGTGCCGGACACACGAAGAAATACCGTTCGTGTGTACATCTGTTAATTTTTCTCCGTCTTCTCCTTCGCTCTCTCGCCCGTCCGATCGATCGGCGGCAGGGCGCTAGGGCGGTCCTGGGCGCTTTAACCGTCCGCCTGATGGAGGTGCTGTCGAGCAAGGAGGTCAGGCAGGCCGGCATCACAGACCCGGTCGCCTACGGCCGCAAGCTGCGGGCGTGGCAGGTACGTTCATGGTCGTTGTCGCGTGAATTCTCGTCGTCGTCGTCCGTGTTGTTGTTGTTGTTGTTGTTGTTGTTGTTGTTGTTGTTGTTGTTGTTGTTGTTGTTGTTGTTGTTGTTGTTGTTGTTGTTTGTTTTTATTGTTGTTGTTGTTGTTGTTGTTGTTGTTGTTGTTGTTGTTGTTGTTGTTGTTGTTGTTGTTGTTGTTGTTGTTGTTGTTGTTGTTGTCGCTATCGTCGTCGTCGACGTCGACGACGACGCCGTCGATGAGATGAATAGCGGGCGGTCACAAGAGACCCCGGGGGGGGGTGCATGTCTCGTGCGCACACACATATACACAAACTCACGGGGTCCCAGATCGTGGCCCATAGAAGCACTCTCTGCTTTCAACCGCACTGCAACGTCTATTCATTGGTGAGTATGCTAGCGAGGTCGACGCCAACAAATAAAAACACACACGCACACACACACTTGCTGTAGCCGCCGTTCGTTCGTTCGCTATCGCGGTCGAAAATATTTGGAGAAGCATTGCGTAGCATAGCATTGCATAGTGTAGCATAACATAGCATAGCACAACATAGCATAGCATAACGTAGCACAGCATAACATAGCGTAGCAGGGCCCACCGAAACAAGCGCCCCTGAGACCACTCGACACAAGCAAAACGCAACGTATTTTCACACCCACGACCACACTAGTGTCGTCATGGTTGCCGTCGTCATTGTCGGCGGGGTGGGGTGTGTTGGAGCAGTACCGGTGTCGGGAGTGGTAGACGACGAACGGAGGGGCGAATGCAGCACAAGCTTGCACACCGGGGAGGCGTTCGGGGTGTTGCGAGAGAAGAAAAGCCCGCAACCCGGGGGTGTATGGCGCGTGTCCCCTACCAGGATCTGAAATGGACATGCTGAGTGCCTCGGGGTCGGGGTCGGAATAGTTTTTCTTGTAGAATTTTTGTTCGTTTCGAGGGTTGTTGGTTCATTCCCTGTTGTATGTATACCTATGTACGTACGTGTCATGCCATCCTCAAGTTCCGTTTTTTTTGTTTTTTGTCTTGGAGTCGGGGGACACACGAGTGGTATTTTTATCATCGGCAAGGGGTTTGGAGGGACAAACGGCGCTACAGCAGTACGTGATTCTCTCGTCAGACCGCCAGCATCGCGGAAGCGCCTGGCGTTGGTCGTCGATTTCTCCCCTTACCTGCCCTATCCTACGCGACTTGACCGCTGTCATGCTTCGTCCGCAGGCTCTGTGTGTCCTGTGCGGCTACTTCTGCGACAAGGCTTCGTCGGACGGAGACGGCCACGCGGCAAAGGTGAGAACTGGGGCGGGGGCCAGAAGTTCCCTGGAGGTTATCAGGGAACGGCGGTATGTCAATTAGAGGTGAGAGCTGAACGGGGAGGGCATCGTTTTGGAGGTGAGAGAGCTGGGTGTGGAAAAATGATGACCCGCTTTTGTCAACAAAGCGATGAGAGCTGGTTTGAGAAATCACTGATTGTGTCCCAGCGGTTCGAGTACGACGACCCCACGTGATTGTGCAAGAGAGCCGTTGGACGCTTGGACACGAGAAGAGGTNGGGGGGGGGGGGGGGGGGGGGGGGGGGGGGGGGGGGGGGGGGGGGGGGGGGGGGGGGGGGGGGCACCGTAGACTGCAATGACGCTCCAGTGGTCGATACAGCACTTGGGCGCGGTCTATCGATGGTTGCACCGCGTATAGCTGAGAAAACCTTGTTACAGCTTCATGGACACGGAAGAGAAGTCAGGATGGTTGCACCGCGTAAGCTGAGACACCATTGTTACAGCTGCATAGACACGGAAGAGAGGTATGGATAGTTAAGGTTAGTCACGTGTGGCTGACTTTTCGGGCTCGTTTTCCCTTCAATAACGTGGGCAGTACGTTCTGCTATGAGCAGCTCAGGCTACAGCAGGTGGTGACTGAAATAAGCACTTACCAAGCATGAAGGGAGGGCACTACAGCGAAGACGTGCGTTTCGCGGCCTTGTGCCCGCTTGCAATTGCTCTGAGTTTTGACAACAAGAGTCAAAGATCCAACGAGGCGAGGTTGCCGCAAGTGGTTCATGTTGTTGTTGTTGTTGCTTTTGTTGTTTTTGTTCTGGCGGTTGTTGGGCTCTTGTAGTCGCTGTCACGGTGGCTGTTGCAGTCGTTGCCGTGCGCTGCTTCAAGAGTTGTTTCTCGCGTCACCCACCGCAACGAACACCGTCCGTGGTCCCGCAGCGCCAGGGGCACAAATCATGCGAGAGGAAGGAACAAAAAAAAAAAAAAAAAAAACTGAAAAAATAACACACCCACACACAAGCAACCGAAATGCCAGCGCACCCGAAACACGGGGTATCCTCTCTGCATCAGACCAAGAACACCGGCTCGATCAGCCACCCACTTTTCAATTAATGGTACTTTTTATTTTTTTGTTTTTTTGTGCAGCTTGCCGAGACCATCTCAGGGTGGTTCTGGCCGGTCCACGGACGCACTGCGCTCCCGCCGGTCCGGCAGCACATGGAGGTCTTCGCAGTGAGGATGTGCAGGGCGTACCCGGACTTGTTCTTGACAGCTGTGGTCAAGGTGGGTGGGTGATGTTGATAAGCCCGAACCTAAAGTCCTACATATGTTGTTGTACTTCGTATTGGTTTAATATTCATGTAGAGTATGAGACATTAAGTGAAAGTTTTCTGAGGTACGTCTGCAATTGTCGGAAGGCAAAAAAAAAAAAAATCATACCACGCCAAATTCAAGTCAAGAGATCTGGAACGATAAATAAAAAAAATAGGTACGATCATTCCTTTATTACGCATTCTACTGATATCTGATACTACACGCCCACGGTGGGAGGCCCCCACCGTGGGCGTGGCGGGGCCCGAACAAAACTTGATAAAAGCACGCAAGCCGAGAAGCACGCCCCGGCAACGAGTTGAGAGATCTGAGTAGTAGTGCGAGAAGAGATCTGGGTATGTGTATGAATAGTTCGAGGAGAAAAATACGTCCAAAAGTATAAAACCAGCAATTCGATAGGGTTGAAGTGAAAGTAGAGATGAAAATAACAAGCGCGAGAGAGGGAGGCATAGCCTTGATTGAATGATGGAACAAAATTCACAAGAAGAGAAGGAAATTTTAGACGAGTACCGGGAAATACAAAAGGAAGCGGAAATCACGTACCCAACAAACAAACGTGAAGAACGAAAATCAAATTGGAAATCTTAACGAAGGCACGTAGAATAGATAAGAACACTCCCAGCGAAAACGATGATGTGGGAAAACAATGCTCGATCAGATTCATCGGCGAAGATAGTCGACGATACCTGGATCGACAACTCAAATGGGGGCAGAAAAATGAAATGGTCCGTAGAGAAAACGATGCTCAACTACAATCAATCGATCGTTTGGGCCAACGGTTGGTACACAGGTGACCAGTGGGCACGGTTGTACGGGGGGCGTTGTGTATTTCGACTAATGGTCAACGTTGCCTACATAGTCTGATGGTTTGGTTTCGGCTTGTGACGTGCGCGGGGTGGGTGTCCGATCACTTCAAGCTTCCGTTCTTTCCAAGCTCTCAACGTTTGAGCACGGCTGTGTGTTAGCCCTTGGACATGGGAGCTTGCTGGTGTTGTTTGGCAGTAGATACAACCCTCCTTCGGGTTTCCTCCACGTTTTTCACCATCGGAGGAGAAAACGCGTGTATCGAGGCGCGCTGATTGGTCGGTTTGTCGGCACGTCGGTCTCTGATTGGTTTGTGCGTTGGCCTCGTCGATCCTAGTTGGCTGTTGCTGCTGTTGGTGTTTTTGTTGACGCTGCCGTTGTTGTTATCGCTGTCTTTGCCGCTGCCGTCCATCCAAGCAGGAGCTCAAGGATTTCCGCCTTCCTGGCCAAGTCCTGTGCAGCCTCCTGATCATCACAGGGCACACCCTCATCGGAAACGAAAGTAAGCGAGATACAACAAACAGAGGACTGGGTACTGCTGTAAGATGGTTCCACAGCAAACAATTTCAACTTTTTTTTTTTCCCTTTTCTCCAGAAACGAAGGTGAAAAAAAGAAACAAAGGACTGAATACTGCGGTAAGACGGTTAGACAACAAACACTTTCAGCATTCTTTTTTGCCGCTGCCTCCCTCCGCACAAGCTCCCTCCCGCCGCCACGACATCTCCAGAAACGAGAGTGAAAAAGAGGAAGCAGAGAACTGGGTACTGCTGTTATTATTATAATAAGATGGTCCCACAGCAAACAATTTCAACATTTGTTTGGTTCTGCTGTCCAATATGTTGTAAAGACTAGAGGCAGGGTGTCGAGTGACTGCGTCGTAGTCTTGACGATGCCGCCTTGGTGCGAAGGTGTGTGTGTGGTAACGTTTGTTCCAGCAGTATAGGAAAACTCCACGGGCAGGTTTATTACAGTACAGTATTTTTATTCCAGTATTTAACTGCGTACTAAAACGTCCAGTACAGTACAGTACCGAG